GGCGACATCGGCTTGCTAGGCTCGAAGCCGAGCGCTCGAGATATGCCCTCGAAGTGCTGCTTCACCAGGGCCGACGTGAAGGCCCATGTCGAGAGTGTCATGGCTTCTGGCCAGAGAATCTTGCGCAGCCTGTTGACTGTTAAAGAATCGACCGGTTGAGTTGACCAGTACAGTCCGTCATCCTGCATCAGCAAACTGCGCCATGTTAGTACGGGGCATATCGGTATATCTAGGGTACAAGCCAGAGCACAACGTACCCAGAAGAGTAGTATACTGGTGGCGGACGGTATGGAAAATCTATGTCCAGCCAGTATCTCCGCAGGTTCACCACATTGCCACACCTCGCTGTCAAGGTAGGGTGCCTTTCGACAGCGCTTCGCACCCAGTGGGCCAGGTCAGCTATCCACCAGAGTCAGCATCTATCGCGATCCTAGTCGGACTATCATCCATACCCCGTATATGGTTTTGCAGCTCCTTGTCCTTGCTGATTCTCACGTATTGTCGCCACTCCGGGTCGGTGCCCTTGTACGGCGGCTGGCTGACTTGTTTCGTCGTAAACGGGAAGGGAATAAACCATGGCTCCGTCTCCTCATCCATCTCCTCATCTAGCGCCTTCTTTTCCGCGGCCGAAAGACTCTCGTATTCGCGATCGACATGTCGGAAGAACGGGTTAAGGACGGTCGACCAGTACATTTGCCAACAGGCGAGCGAGATGCCTGCGCCGAGAAAGAACGACCTGGCAGTAAGTCAGCTGTAGTCCGATGGAGCAAAGGAAGTAACGGATGCGCACCTGGCCCTGAATCGAGACTTCGTAACCTTGACCCTCTGGACGACGATGGTCTGTTGGCCTTGGACCTTCGGGGCGAGCGCCCGAGCAGCGAGAGTGCTGGCGCGTGGCCTGAAGAAACGCCACATCGTGTATTCAGAGGGGCACGCCGAGCGACGGCGGCCGTGGTAGGTTCGGTAGCAAAAGGATGTCCCTCTCGTGCAGCGATGGACCGGTCGGGATATCGGAGTCGGGGGAGACGGACGAAGTTTGGCTGCGATGACTGATGCGAATCGACGTGGGTTGCCCGGCGGAGGTGGGATGGGATGGAAGTGACGGGACGGCAGGCAGATGACCGTGTAGTAATGCGAACAAGAGGATGAAAGAAGTGACACAGACGGCGCGGCACTTCTAGCAAGGCTGACGTGGTTTGCCGCGACTCGAATGCAGCGTTTTGCTGTTGTTTGTTCCAGAGGCAACGGCAGCCCGAGGCGACTCCAACATCAAACTGAACAACAGCTGCGGCTGCGCTGCGCGCCTCCGCTCAGGTTCCCGGCCGGAGTTCTAGATGCATGTCGGCGCACAGTGTTTGTTGGTTCCCGCCCCTCACCCCGCCAGTGCATCGGCCCCCCTGAAGGATGCCTGCCGATAGCGCAGCGTACAGTGTGGACGCTCTGCATGCACGGGGCACCCTCATCGATGGGCAGCACGACCCCTGCTCCACTTCCCTGGACCCAAGCCAAGGGGTCAAGCCACAGTCGGATGAATGGTTTGACCGGGGACACTAGCCACTTCGATCCCGCCACGGGGTCGACCCAATGGATCCAGACAGGCACCTGGGACGTGCTGCGACAGCTCCCGTCGACTTACGTGCCGACTCGACGCAGCTTTGGCCTTGGAGATAGCAGCCACCTGCAGCATCAAGCTCGCCCACCCGTCAACAACACCCCATCGTCGAATCCATCCCCGAGCTCCATCCACCGCGTTCGACATCATGAAGGTCTCCGTTGGGCTTGCGACAGCCCTGGCTGGCGTCGCGACCGCGCTGTCCTCCGACCAGCCCGCTGACGTATATCTCCTGCAATCGAAGCAGACCTCAACCTCCAGTTCCGACATCCCATCATTACCACGACAGATTGCCCGCCTCATCCTCCTCCAGCGTCTGTCTCCCGAGGGCCAGCATGGCACCTGGGATCTCCCCGAGACCATGTCCAGCGAGAAGGCAGTCAACTACCTGAACGACTTCGGCCTGTCGCCCCAGGGTCTCTTCAGCAACGCCGCCTCCACCAACCCGTCCCAGCTTGTTGTCATGCTCGAGGGCATCACTGGCGATGATGCCAAGGCGCTTCAAAAGTCCATTGGTGCTGGACCCAGCTTCAGGGTCGGCGACGCACCCTCCGCCGCTGCCAACACGCTGCTGCTGGCCAACGACTTCCAGAATGTCGGCGTCACCCCGAAGGGCTGCAAGTTCGACAAGGCCATCAACCCCTTTGCCGAGGAGTGCTGGAGTGGCAAGTCGTCCGTCGTCAGATACGACGTGAAGAAGGTAATTTAACTATTCAACCGCTATGATGGATGCCCAAATGCTAATGCCAATGGACTCGCAGGACTCCTCCATCATCAACTCCCTCTCCGAGAACGCTTCCCTCCTCCGCCAGCTGGCTCAGAACGGCGAGATGGAGACTATCCTCGTTGCCATGCCCGAGTCCTCCCGCAACTCTCAGATTCGTCACTGGTCTTCCAAGCCTGAGGAGCTTCGCCGCCGCCAGGTCGAGTCCGTCATGAAGACCGAGTCCGACAAGCAGGACAAGCCCGCGCCCACGAGCCCCGCCGAGAGCGCCACCCCCTTCCCCGGCGAGATCAAGCGCGGCAGCATCCCCTCCTGCTTCTCATCGGCCGACGCCTGTGTCAAGGACACCAGGAACTGCTCGGGCCACGGCGAGTGCGTCAACAAGTACCAAAAGGCCGATGGCCAGTCTACCGGCACTTGCTTTGCCTGCGCCTGCTTGTCCACCAAGTCCAACAAGACTGGGAGCGTCACCCACTGGGGCGGACCTGCTTGCAGCAAGGTTGATGTCAGCGTTCCCTTCTGGCTCTTCACTGGTTTCGGTATCGCTTTGATTGGTACCCTCTACTTCGCCATCTCTCTCCTCTTCAACGTCGGCGAGGAGCCGCTTCCTGGCGTCATTGGTGCTGGCGTCTCCAGATCGAAGTAAAGCCATCGATGATAAGGCTTTGCGTGCTTAAGGTGGATTGGAATGAGTGTAGTGACTGTGCTTATAATTGGCAAGTGGTAGTCTGTACCATAGGTGTATTCTCACGCGGCGTTGGCATTGGCAGGACATTTCTCTCTGTTCATGGAGAGGTTATTTCTTAGACAATCAAAGAATTGAAGCAATGGTTCCATGAATGCAGTCTATGTTGGGTATCATTAATTTGCTAGGTGCACGTACGTAACCCAACTAACCCAGGTCATCTGGATCCGGGCGCTCACTTGGTGTCGTACCAAGGCTCTCCAGCCCCCTCTCTACCCTTAACTCACTGGCGCCAGTGTTCGCGATCTGTCTTGCCGGAGACTGTGCAGCAGATTCTGCGGCTGATGATGTCCCGACCGCGCTGGTATACTTCAGTCCAGCCTCGTTAAGAAGCTCCTGCACCTCATCCTTTCTGGTCAAGATGCTTTCCCTCTCTTGCCTCAGTTCCTCCACCCGCTTCGTCTTGTCCGCCAACTCCAGCTCCATGGCCCGCATCGTCATCTGTAACCTCGACAGGCACTCTGACAGGTCCGGCAACGGCGTGATTTTGGGTGGTACCTGCAGAAGGTGCTCGGCCGGGTTGGTCTGAGGCTTCTCCAAACCATCCATGCCGGAGCGCGTCTGCGCTGCTTCGAACGCCGCACGCCGCTCCGCCTCCGAAGCGTCCGATTCGTCACCAGAGTCGCCCTCGGCCATCTTGATCTGCTCTGCCATCTCGCGCCGCCGGCGGAGCTTCTCTTCCCTCTCGGCCTTTCTACCTAGTGACAGCCCACCGTCCTCAACAAAGTCGTCGAACCCTTCACCAAGATCCTCATCCTCAGGCACAAGCCGAGTGTCAGCCTTCTTCTTGCGCAGCGAGGCACCGCCCTCATCATCGTCGAAAGAAATGAAGTCGTCGCCAGACTGCTCCTGTGCTAATCGTGCCCTGCGCTCTCTGCGCTCTTGAATCTCCGCGTCGGTAAGGATGTTCGTCTGCTGAGGTCGCGAGCTCAGTTCGTCCGAGTTGACAATCAGTGCCCCCTCGAGTTCAGACGCATCCAGGTCCATCTCGTCCTCGTCGTGCACGCGCTGCGATGCAAGGTTCTGCGGCGTGTTGGGCGTCGAGTTTTGTAGCTCGTCCAGGTATTCCTTGCTATACCTCGGCCGGTCTTCTTCCTCGTCGCGAAAGGAGCGCATCGGCAGACGGTTCTTGATGGCGCTGTTCTCCAAAGCTGTGTATCCCAGGCTAGCCTTCTTGGGCGTGGTGTACTCGGTCTTTTCCCCATCGTCACCGCCGGCCTGAGCACCGCCAAACGACAGTCTTGACGAAGACTGGCGCTTCTTCTGCTTCAAAGACCCGGAACGACTGACCGTTGGACGGATCACCACGGGGCCGTCATCCTCCTCGTCATCCCCTTGCGCGGAGCCCTTGGACTTGCCCGAGTCGCTGATCGCAGCACCGCCATTGGAGTCGTCGACCTCGCTGAAGTTGATGCTCTTTCGTAGACCGCTCTGTCGGAATGGCTTTCGCGTGAATTTGACTGCTATCGGCGCACCGTCTGCCACCCCATTAGCCTTGCGAACGGCATCAGCGCATCGTCTCTGGACGGGGACTGCAGACTCACCATCCTTCACCGGCTCCGGCGAGCTTTTTGACGCATCGTCGTCCTCTTCGCCGTGGACTTTGATCACACGGGCTTTCCTCTTTGGCGTGAACGAGCTCATCCTGACAGATGATGTAATTTCGGTAGAATTTTGAAGGTGTTGAAGCTCCAGTAATTCGAGGCCGCTCAGGTGCCTGGGAACCTCACCTTGAGAACGCGCAGATAAGATTTCTTATCGCCACGTGACCCACCCAAATTTCGACACCGCCCAGGCCAGGCTCCCCTCGGCAGGCTACAGAGCATCGATAGCTTCGTCGCGTCGCAAAGCCCATCTCGCGCCTCGATTGACATCACCCATATCCAACCCATCCACACCCCACAGACAGACAGCACAAGATGGCGCCCGCACAGCCCGAGCTGAAGAAGGTACGGAGGCCCATTTTCCTCACGGACATTCCCGAGTCTCCGGACTTGTACGATGTACAACCAGATTAATGGAGAGTGCCTACTTTGGCACCTCCTCTATCGGCTCATCCCCTTCTGTCCTGGATCATGATCGCTAACGTTGATCGCAGTACCTCGACAAGAGACTTTTCGTCCAATTGAACGGCAGCCGCAAGGTTATCGGTGTTCTCCGAGGCTACGATGTACGACGCTCTTGGTTCTGTCGTTTGGAGTTCCGAGCTAACAAGCTCCATAGGTCTTCCTGAATATTGTTCTGGACGAGGCGGTCGAGGAGAAGGAGGGCGGCGAGAAGGTCAGGCTAGGCATGGTCGTACGTATACCGCTTTCTCCGCCAGATTTACCATTTCAATGCTAACCTCACCCAGGTCATCCGCGGCAACTCAGTCGTCATGCTGGAGGCGCTGGAGAGAATTGGCGGCGACGACCGCCAGCAGAGAGGCTAGATTGCCAAACGACTCGATGGTCGACTTCCACGAGATGCTTTTGCGGGGCTTTTACACTTCGGCGTTATGACGGCACAAAAAGATGCATTTGGTTCCAAGACAAATGGGCGGGGATGAAGTATGGCTAGATACCAGCAAATGTCACATTCAATGCGAACCACCACAACAGCCGCAGCTGCCATTTGACGAACCACGGATCTAGGGCGTCTATGCGGCAAGGCTCACTTGGCACGATCGGCCCAGGCTTTCTCGTCATACCAATCCATCATGCGGCCGCCGTACTTGCGTACCCAGCCCTTGATGCCGCCCTTGAGGATGACGGCCTGCACAGCGGTCTCGCCAACGTCATCAAAGTAATCCTGCAGCCAGTTCGCAGAGCGTGGGCCGCGTCCGTTGCTGCTACCTGTGCAACGGCTTCAGCAGGGGGGAGGGGTCTTTTCGAGTGTGTGTGGTGTGTGTTGTGGACAGAGACGATTAGAGCGGATTGCTACTCACCGCAATAAAATATAACACGCTTGACACCAGCCTGCTTACACAACTCATGGATGACGGGCCTGGTCTGGTACAGAGTCTGGGCGGGGAAGTTGATCGACGTTGATATCGTCCCGCCCTCCCAATCGTTCCTGCGTACGTCCACGAGCAGAAAGTCGCGGGAAGTATCTTGCCCATCTGCAGCTCTAGCCTCAAGCAACGCCATCACCTCGTCAGCCTCGACTTCCAAAGACTTGGCTTTGGGGGCAGGAAACGCTGCCCACCAAGGCGGGGTCTCCGTCGCAGTTGCACCTGCGGCTTCAGCCATGGTTCACTCAGGCGATCCGCCTCGTCGGGTCGGGTCTTGGCTCAGCTGGACAGACAGAGAGATCTCTTGCAGCAGTTCCTGCGCCTGCTGTGACGCCCGAGATGCTCACTGGGGGTTGCTTTAAGGGCGCGATCTTGCGGGCGCAGAGTTGCGGGCGTAAGTTACCCCAGAATCTGCGAAGGCAAGTCTGGAAGGGGGTTTGGCGGATGATGTGATTTGAGTTGCAGAGCCGCAAAGCCGTGCTGCAGCAGCTTCTCCTCAGCTCAATCTCCAAATCTCTCGGCACTCTACAGCTGTGGAGAATGCCGCACGGAGACATTTGTCATTCCGGGCCTTCAATTGGCTGCTCATGATGCCATTGAGCCCAAAGGCACCTCAGTAACTTTCGACCCTTGCGCCGTCACAACCCCGATGCACTTTTAACACACATTGGCCCCCGAAACTCTGGAAACACCAGACGTCAATGCCATGTTGCTTGTGGTGATGCCTCAACTTCACAACCTCTTCAAGTGAAGTGGTCTTTTTTCTTGTCTGTTTGCTTCTTCTTCTTGGACCTTCCAACCAGCTGCCGCCCCGCCCACATGCCGAGACTAATTGACGCATCTCTTATCTCTACCCGTAGGATTCGGGACTGGCTATCTCGACCAATTACATGTTCTTGTGGAGTCCGGCACTCACTCCAACCTGTTGCCAGTGGCTCCCGTCTTTCCCTTTGCCTGCCGTCCAGCAAGTGCGGCATTTGTGCTTATCTCGCGTCGCCAAAAGCTTCCTTTAGAGGCATTCTTTCTTGTTTCTGGGTCAAACTACGTTGTATTTTTGGTTGAATATTGACAACCGGGCCGGCTCAGTTGCAGATGGAGCTGATGGACATATCCATTGACCTCTAGGATCAGCCGTTACCGGAGAGAATTTGCATCCCGCGGTCAATTGCTCGGAGATGTCACAAGTGTCATCTCGGCGTCCTAGCTGGTTTTTGAACACCGAACGGGACACAGGGCATACCGTCTGACGGGCTGCTCGCATTTGCGACAGCAGGATGATGCCAAGGGCATTCTCAGGCTTATTATGGGTGCTTCATTCGATGATGTGCGCGCCCTGTCTAACAAAATGGCATCCTAGATGTCTATCAAATCTCACAGGGCGCACGCACGCGGGACAATCTGTGAATTGCTGACCGTCATCATCATGTAGCACTTCTTCTCCAGGTCTCTCTGCAAAACCTCGACTAACCGCTGCCGCCGCTCATCGGCCTTCTTGCTGACATATACCAGCATGTTTGTTTGTCTTATCGCAACATCTCGGAGAGAGCCGATGAACCAACACTCCGACCCCAGTTTCTCTCCATCGCACGCCGCTGCGTTCCCACAATGAGCGCCGAAAGGGCGAAAGGGCGCAGACGACAAACTGATACCGATGCCCAAGAAACAAATTCTCCATCCCATGTCCACCTTGTTTCCCCCACTGCGGCACCCGGAGGCCAAGAGGACGGGGACAGATGGGATATCGCCCCGCCACCGGGGTAAAGAAGGGTAAGGAACCGTTCCTATCTTCCCGCCCTGCGCCGCCTCCACAGATAAGACACCACACCCAATGACTCGGGACCCTCGCGCCCGACGACTGCTCTGTGCAACGTCAAACTGCATGGCCACCACATGGTGAGCCGTGGAGCTCCCTGGGAGAATCGACATGGCATTTCCTTCGCACCTGCTTCTTCAGGTAAAGCTGAACGACCGGGAAACTCTCCGATGGGATGGATTCTTTCGTCTGTCCGAGGCGACCCTTGGTGATGTTTGCTGTAAGCCTGCGAAGCTGCGCAAGCCGACACCGCCTCACGTAATTGTTCGATGACCAATATTGTGATGTTCATGGATCAGGTCACTTCCAAGGCTGTTGGCCGTGGTGGTTCGGCGAGTCTTGCGCGTCGGACAGAGACATCCATAGACCGGTCCCGGCCCGGGCATCTGGATCGACCACATAGCAACCGCAGGTCTATAAAGACCAGCGGGCGTATCACCAACATGAAGATATCCAGAGACCCTCTCCTCACGCCAATCTCACCTGGACAGCCTCAACTCGGTCCTCTGATCTCGCAATGTCTCGGTGGCTCCTGTCTTTCGTCGCCGGAAGCGCCCTCGCGGCTGCTTCTGGCCTCCCCCTGAAGCTCGAGACTCGTCACGCCGTCACTTCTCGTGTTTCCAACATTCATCTGACGATCGAAGAGCCCGTTGATGGATCCGTCACCTTCACTTACGGATCTTGCCGCGGCGTCTCGCTCGACGATGCTCATCACACCATCGTCAAGTCCGAGGTCCGCGACTCTCAGCGCCTCGTCTGGGTCCTCCCTGAGGATGCTCACTCCGACGGCTGTATCTCCGCCTGGAGTGTTTCTGGCTCCTTGATTGGTCGAAGTGAGCCTCAGACTCTTCACCACAGCTGGAAGCGTCGTGCTGCCAAGAGATGTAAGTCATAGCCACGACCGTCGATCCCGCTCAAACACTGACACCAGCCCAGCCATCCACATGAGCAACGAGACTGGCTTCGACACCCTCGGCGCCTGGTTTGAGGGTGTTAACCTCCTCAAGGACAAGGAGCCTGCCGCCGTTGACGTTGACGCTGCCAAGTCTAAGCAGATCGCCATTGTAGGCGCTGGCATGGCGGGACTGATGTCCTACCTCGTCCTGTCTCAAGCTGGCATGACCAACATCAGCATCATCGAGGCTGGCCAGCGCCTCGGTGGTCGTGTGCACACCGAGTACCTCTCCGGCGGCCCCTTCGACTACTCATACCAGGAGATGGGTCCCATGCGCTTCCCCGAGACCTACGTCGACCCCAAGACCAACGCCACTTACAACATCTCTGACCACCAGCTCGTCTTCCAGCTCGCCGCCGAGATGAACGAGCTCAACAACCACGACAAGAACCTCAGCGTCGACTTCATCCCCTGGATCCAGTCCAACGTCAACGGCCTATCTTACAAGAACGGCATCAAGCTCGCCAACGGCCTGCCCCCTACCCTTGCCCAGATCTCCGCCAACTCCTCGCTCGCCGTCGCGACCGTCTACGACGATGCCACCAACGCTCTCTCCGCGGAGGAAGAAAAGTACATGCCCGGCAGCGACTTCTCCGTCGCCATGGCGAAGAACATGTACAAGGCCCACGGCGAATGGGTCCGCAACGGCCTGAATGGCCTGGGAGGCGACACCTGGTCTGAGTACGCCTTCATGGTGAACTATCTCAAGGGCTCCCTCAACTCCACCGACGCCCTCGGCATGTACTCCGCTACCTCCTTCTGGGACACCCTCTACGAGGGCATGTACTTCGAGGCCGCGACCTACAGGACCATTGATGGTGGTCTCAGCCGTCTGCCTCTGTCCTTCCACCCCCTCGTCGACGACGTCACCACCATGGACCGCAAGATCGAGCGCGTGCAGTTCACCGAGGACTCCAAGGTCAACCTTCAGTGGCGCAACAACTTCACCGAGAAGACCTTCCAGAACGCCTCCTACGACTACGCGCTGATGGCCGTCCCCTTCTCCATCATCCGCAAGTGGCGCCTCCCCTCCCTGCCCCTGACCATCTCCAACGCCATCAAGGAGCTCCCCTACACCAGCGCCTGCAAGGTCGCCCTCGAGTTCTCCGAGCGCTTCTGGGAGCACTATGAAAACCCCATCGTCGGCGGCTGCAGCACCACCTCCGACATCCCGGGTATCGGCTCCACCTGCTACCCCTCGTACAACATCAACGGCACCGGCAAGGCGACGATGCTCGCCAGCTACATCTCCGGCGACTGGGGCCACCGCTGGGCGTCCGTTTCCGAGGCGGAGCACGTGCAGTACGTCCTCGACGCCATGGTTGAAATCCACGGCGAGAACACCCGCGAGCTGTACACCGGCAACTACAACCGTCGCTGCTGGGTGCTCGACCCCCTCGAGAGCGGTTCCTGGGTCAGCCCCGTTGCTGGCCAGCACCAGCTGTACATTCCCGAGTACTTCAAGACGTACGAAAACGTGAGTGACCAGTACCCTTTCTGCAAATCTTTTTGTGGTAGCCGAGACTAACACTGGTGCAGATGATCTTCATCGGCGAGCACACCTCCTACACGCACGCCTGGATCTCCTCGGCTCTCGAGTCCGGCATCCGTGGCTCCGTGCAGCTGCTCCTTGAGCTCGGTCTCGTTGACGAGGCCAAGGCCGCTGTCAAC